AAAATAAATCATAACTAAATTTATGCTATTTTTAAGCTAAAATTGTTACACGAACTCTACAGCTTAAGGGATAAGTTTCAAAAGGAATTATCATTATCTTCATATTCGATAAGTTTAGTTTTTATACTGTAAAAAAAAAATAATAAATATTACACTAATTAAACTTTTTTTTTAAATTGGATGTTACAAGAAGTTGAAAATAAACAACATGCAGAAGATTTAAAAATAAGTGTATTACAAGCCATCCATTTTACCATTCAAGAGTAGGATGAAGTTAAAGCTAGCATAATTTGCAATTGTTGGTATTACACAAAGATTCTTTCTGCAGATACCAACTCTGATTTACAAAACTCTATTGAGGATTTTTGCCAAACTACAAATCTTATTCTTAATAATATTACTAATGCACTAAAAGCTCTTAATCTTTCAAACTCTATATAAGTTGAAGAGTATTTGGCAATCCACGAAAAAAATATAGTTTATGAAATTCTCTCTGATGATCAAGTTAGTATAGAACTTGTTGAAATATTTAGAATAAATGCTTAACAAATAATAACTTAGAAGATAAAGATGATAGCTTCAAAGTTCCTATTGTTAGTGCTAGCTTGGCAGCTGCAAGTTTAGAAACTATGCTTACATTTTTGCTTCAGCAGAATAATATAGAGAAATATATTAATCTAGTAAGAAGTGTTGAAAATTTATCAAAAAAACCAAGGTTAGCCAAATGCAGCAAAGCAAAATTAATCAATTTTTTACTGGAGAAAATTAAATAAATCATTTTAAATGTTTTATAAAGAATTTTTTTTTTTTTGCTTACAAAAAAAATTCTATGCTTGTAAAATGATAAATAATTATTTACTAAATTTAGATAATACAATACTTGTACATATAGATTAATATTACTTATTTGTTATCTGTGTCTAATGTCGTTATATTTTTTATATCTTTGAAGCCAGATTAAAAATACAATAATTATAGTATCTTTGTATAAAAATGTCTTCATATCTCACACTAATAATAATTGTGACAAATTAAATTAAAAATAAAATTTTTTATGGGACAAATGATTCTTTATTATTATTAGCTAGTTGTCATATGCATGTATTTATAGAAGTGCATGTATATACTTTGAGCTCTGAAAACATCGCACGTAAAGAATATAGAAAGTGCTTAAGCCCCGAACTCAGAGCCAGGCTTTGGTGTATATATAGAGAAGGTGTGTACTTAGAAGGCGTGCATTTAGGGGGTGTGACTATATATAGTTTTTTTTTTATTTTGTATATAATTTTTATTTAAACCTTGTATAAATTATAATAGTACTCTTATTTTTCATTTATAGAAAGCTTTTATTTGTTTTTATTTTTTGTTTTTTTTTTAGGTTTTTTTTTACTTTTTTCTATTTTATATCTCTTTTATTATAGTATTGTTTCTGCTTTTTGTATTTTGAAGTTTATTATAAACAGCTAAGACCAGGTTATATTATATTTTTAAATATATCATACTATATATAAAATATTTTAGCTATTATTAGAATGATAACTCATATTAGTGGATTTAGTTTTTTGGACCTTTTTTTATATAGTTACAATTGATTTTTAGACCCTTTTTTTATAGTTACATGAGAAAATACACTCCAAATTTTTTATTAACTAAACATTTTTTACTTCAAAACAAAACAATTTAATATAAAACTCGTGACCAATCTATCAAAAACCTGCCCAACCCATCAAACTTTTGTCAAGATATATAGAACTATACAATTTCAATTGTAAATAACTACTTTGTTTATTTAAAACTTTAAATTGTTTTTTTTATAAGTTATAAGCTAAAAATATAATTTTAATAATCTTTAGTTACTATTTATAACTACGGTAACTATGGTTCATAATTCTCTAAGATTTTACTGTACTATATGTACATGATCTAAAGGATATAAAAATCATTCTGGATTGCAACGACATGAGACATTAAAATATGCATCATATAATCTATTACCAAATCATATTCAACAAATACCAAAATCAGAACTTAAAAATGCTATAATTAAAGAACTGCAAAAAAAACTCAAAAATCATTACTGTGCTGTTGGAGAACAAGTATTTTCAATACATTGTAGTGAAAATGCCTTTGTGGATATATTTGGATCTTATATTACACGCTATTCACCATGTTGTTCCTTTTATCTTTGTAATTTTAGAGGAGAAAATGCTGTTGAAACAATTGTATTAATGTTTAAGAATAATCAATAGTAAAACGTGATTATGGTGATAGTCAATGTAGTTTTGTTAGACTTTATTCTTCAGAAAACAAAATATTAGAAACAAACAACAAATTACAATAGCAAAAAAAAAAAATTATCTCCTAATGGAGAAATGATTATAAAATGAAGAGTAATTAGATTTAAAGATAAAGCGAATCAGAAACATAAAGCAGAAACACTTAAAATTCATTTTTTTTTAGATCAATATCAATTTTAAATATACAAATTAAATAAAATTTTATTTGTCCAATTTGTAAATAGTGCTTTCTATTCGAAGCCCGTTTGGGAAGTCCCGAGTAGGGAGGTAGCAGTGATCTTCGACGGTACTACATGAAGGCTGAATTTGAA